AAAAGTTTAAATTATTTTTAGTTAAAAAAAATTTTTTTAAATTATCGTTACAGTATATATTTCTGGCTTGTAAACGACATAAATTTATAAAGCAATCGAATTTTGTCTAGCTTTACAGTTTAAGGAATGATACCTTATAAATTCTCGAAATAAAGAGCATCCGCGCGTTGTTTCGAGTACATCATGAAAGTTATTTTGAAATAAGACATTTCACGATTAACATAATAAGTAAAGGTTCTGCCATCAGTCATCTTCACTATTGACTGATCTAATAAAAATTGTCTGCGCGTAATAACCGTGAAGATTCTTCACGGTTGTCATGTACAATTATTTTATTATGAAAGTTAAAAATACACGAATAGAATTGAATGAAATGCACGTTATTTTGGGACGCGCATGGGCGTTATTTCAAAGTCAACTATACTATTTTTAGGGAAAATGATTTTCGAAATAACGCCCATGCCGTTATTTCGAGAATAGCTATTTTATATGAAGGCACATTATTACTATACCAAGATTACCACAAGTACTAACGCTTCTAAATAAACTTGGCTAAGAACCGCTTGCACGACGGCAACGATAATACATACACTATTTATGGCCAGCTTCTACTAATCATGTAATATTAATACTTCAATATACGTAACCTTTTAAAGTGTAAGCGAAAATCGATCTTTATACAGCATATTGTTGCCCAACCAAATTTTCCTAGTACTTTTTTTTTATCATAATTTACATTTTTTTCTAGCACATTTAGATATTGCTCTGTCGTAATCTTATGTTTAAACTTGGAAATAACACTCTTGAGGGCCATTTCGAGACACGCCATTTAAAGAGGTTAATAAATTGATTTCGTTAAAGATATTTTAAAATAAATATAATTTGCATTCTGTTAAATTGTTACTCTCCAAGTTGTGTATCTCTTAAATTAATTATTACTCTTAAATTGTGTCTCAAAATAACGCCCATAGGCGTTATTCGAGCCAATACTGCAATATGATGACACAAAGTGAGATACCCTTAATTTTTCTATCAATTGTTTAATATAAAACATTAAAAATCATGCCCGTGAAAATTAATAAAGAAGGTATCTCTTTTTATTCTAATATATTTTAATAGTTACTTTATCCCTGGCTTCTAGAACTTTTTTATTTCGATTATAACAACTCTTAGTATGTATTTGAAGATGTACAGTACAGTACATAGAGAAAAAACATACAACTAAGTACTATACTGTGCGCTTAGAAATTAGAAAATATATAATAAATTTTGCAAAATATATAACAAATAAAAATGTAGAATTTTATTTACAACTAGTGATTAACGTTAAATTGGTCAGTATTAAATGAATTGAAAATTGGCTTCCTATTCAAAATTTTTGTTTGGAGTAAATAAAATTTAGATCCTTGGAAAATGAAAAATAATGTAAACTTTACTATTTCGATTGACAGTTATAATTGTGTATCCTTACGTCAAATAAATCCAGAAATTCAAATATATTCTCTATACATTTGACATAAAAACAACTAAAATTTCATGTTATAAATTTTTTAAAAATTGGAAAGATTGTTCTGGATCAATTCAGTGTAAAATCAAATATGTCATAAAAGAAAAGAGCGAAAATTATGTCTAAATGGCAATTTTATGTGCAATAATCAATGCTTTATGCCTATAAATGCAACCCTACCTTCGAACTATAGTACCAAACATATACCTTCTAACTATAACAACGCGCCACATCACGTTATTGCACGTATCTATACTCCTAGCAGAGCTATATACACACCAATCTTTAGTTTAACTAAGATTAAAGCAACTCGGTTAGGAACGAATATTCCAAATCGCAATATTTATTAAATCATTTAGAGCTTACATTTGATAATATAATAATATAATAAAGTAATCTAAATTCTTATTCTTTTTCAACTTTTTTAAAAAAATATTTCAAATTCTCTCCTTTAATTTTGAAAATGAAACTATCATTAATATCTTCATTATTAATTCTTTATTTACTATTTTTAACAATTAAAATCGATTCTAATTATAATGTAGTAATAAATTAATAAATATATGTTTAGTTATAATTAATGACTCAAAGTTTCGTAACTTACTTTGGCAAGTCAATAATAATTTGATTTCCGGTGAAAAGTTTCTTTGTAATCTTTTTTCTATTATATTATGCTTAATATATAAAAACTCGTCAGTTGTATAGATTTCAATTTCTTCTTTATTAAAACTGTTGGCATAACTAATATTTGGTGAAAATTGATAGCAAATATTTTCTTTACAATGCCAGATTATTGCAGCTTCAGAGTATTTATGGTGAAGTAAAAAAGAAGATATATGCCAAAATATGACTTCCAATGCCAGGTGTACCGGTAACAATTATAAAAAAGATTAACATTATATTAAACATTGTCAAATAATATCAATCTAATACGATTAACGTTAAAAATAAAATAATGATCCCGTTGTCATCGTCATACATACATATCATATCGGGCATTAACAATAGCATTTATACCAACATCAATACAATCGACAGTGGCATTTTCAGCATTCATACAATCAGTGTGATATATGTTCTCTGGTGTATTATAAACTGCGCGCATTTTAAATCCAAAAATGCTTCGTAAAGAGATTTTTTGTGGGCTTAGGGTGCTCTCAAGCATCTAAATCAATAGGTCTGAGTTCAATTTTTAATTAGTGGAAAATAAATTATTCGGTCA